GGGGGGAGCCGTGGCTGAAGCGCTCCAATCCAGCAGCAGGATGGGAGCGGGGTGAGCGGGGCCATGCAGGTCCCTGCACCCAGCTGCGAGCATGGCATGGCTCCTCCTGGCACGGTGCCCATCAAGCATTGCCGTGTGGTGGCTGGTGGGAGGCATCCCCGGGCCCCCTTTTCCCCGCTCCCTGCCTCCCCGAAGCTGGCAGGATCTGGCCCTGGACTCAAGACGAGCCCCAGGACCGGGGCGGGCAGGCAGGCCCTCCCCATGGAGAAGCCTCCGGGGCCTGAGCCTCCTTCCGCAGCCCCAGGGCCACACAAGAGACCCTCAAGTCAGATGAGACGACAGCGCTTCCCTGGTGTCTTCAGAGCGAGGATCGGTCAATGCCTGTGGGGTGAGAGAGCACACAAGGCAGTAACCCCCTGATGGGCACTGGTGCTGGGCTGGGCACCCTGTGGGATGGCCCTCCGACCTGCCCCGGTGGCCACAGGGAACAGCGGGGTCTTTCCTCCATCCCTGGCTTTGGATACAAGCTCTGGAATTGGAGGGGGACACTGATCAGGAGCGGGATGTCCCGGTGGTCTCCCAGCAGCTCCTGGCACAGCCAGCCTTGTGAGCAAAGGCATCGTGATGGGGAACTGGAGGTGTCCCATGTCTGGTGTGCTTAACACACAACACCCCTGGTCCCCTTGTGCATGGAGCAACTGGGCATTGCTGGGGGAATGGGTGGGCAAGGGGTGACCCAAGCCTGTTCCCCACCACCGCCTCAAAAAAAAGCATCATTACCTTTGGGAAGCAGCTGGATAGAGTGGCCAGCTCCCCCCTCCCCAGTTATCCCCTAAATGGGTGCCAGGGTGGGTACCAGCACTGTGCCCACCCATCACGTGCCTGAGGACTCACCAGGCAGCGGGCGAGCGGAGCCAGGCGCAAGTAGCTGGGCAGCGCAGTCCCAACGCAGCCTGAGAGTGAGCCCCATCCCTGAACCAGGTGGGTTTTGGGCCACCAGAGGCTCAGTGGCCAGGGTCACTGTGGGCAGAGGAGGTGGTGGGCTCTGGCGGCCGTGGCCCATGGGTTAGCCATGCTGTGCACATGGCTGGTGGTGGATGGCACATCTAGGGTGTGCAAGTGGGGGGGGTCTGTCCTCTGTGCATCCCACAGAAATGGCACCAGACGGGCTCAGGTCTAAGAGGGGCTTTGAGGCAGAAAAAGGGCTCTTCTCTTGGGATGCGTCACACCCTGAAACCCTCATCCAACCCAAAGACCAGGGACCTGCAAAACATGCATCCCATATGCTGCCTGGATGAGGATCTGGGGTTGTCTCCATGGCAGGTGCCTCCATCCTTCCTCATGGACACCAGGGATCAGGACCCCAGAAGGGACTCCCCATGATCCTTGTGTTCCCGGGGACAAGGAGCATCCAGGTCCTGCCATCCCCACCTGGGTACCCAGCACTGCTGGACCTCAGCCCCAGGCTCCTCCATTCCCCCAGGGCCGGTTTGGCTGGGGTGGAGGCAGGTGGCCTGAGCAGGAAGGTGACGAGGTGCGGGTGACCCAGCAGCAGGGAGGGGACAGGAGCGCAGTAGCAGGGGACAGAGCCTACCTTAAGTGGAGAGAAATGGAGGGTGCAAGTGGAGAAAGATGGAGCGTC